CATATGGAATGTTCGTGTAGCCTTACGGTGGAGTCAGGTGTTTCTGGACGCATTTCAGTACCTGGACTCACCTGAGCGGTGACAAGGGCTGTATCAGACTACTTTGCTTAATTGCAAGATGTAGCAGATGCTCCTGCTGCAGAAAAAAAAATGTAACTAGTAGACAACATCAAGAGTGTTTGGGCTTTGACACAGAAACACGTCATGATTTTGTGAAGTTCTTGAAGTTCTTCTCTTAATATTTTCTCCTGAAACCCCCCCCCTCCCGAAAGGCAATGCGCAGATTAGCTGGTTGGAAGACAGACGAGGGGAGGAGTCCACAAAAGGATCATTCAGCGTAATAATAATTATACATGTGGTGCTCCTGATGCACTGAGAAAGCAGAATGGTTCACCTAATGCTTAAGCTTTTAGGAAAAAGCAACTTTGGAGGAAGTCCTAGTCTGTAATTAAATATTGGAAGACATGAATTTGCTCCAATCTGAATCTAATTGTTGATTGTTGATCATCAATCTAATCCAATTTAACCATTCAAATCAATTAGGAAAATCGAGGCATTTCATTTGATTCTTTGATTCAAAGAACTGACAAACGTTGACTGACTCTTCCCAATCACTGACTCAGACTGGGGCATCTCCTTTAATGCAGCCTTCAATTCAACGGTCCAATTCAATTAGGAGAGTAGATTCTATCTGGAACTTCAACCAAATTGGTTTCAAATTGAATCTCGGAATTAAAGCTTCTCGCAGTCCTAGTCAATATAGGCAGTGTTTGTTGCAAGATTTTGAAAGTTATTATTTTTTACTCTCTGGAAATGCCACTCACACCCCAACTCCGTCTAGTGCTGAGTTTCAGCATTTCACAAAAACTTAAATTACATCAAGAGTATGTCAGGGGCAGCAATTCTGTGGCTGAGGCAGGCAGAACTGGGGTGGGAGAAATTTTTTTTTTTACTTGACTCCGTCTCTCCGGCCTTTTCCTTTTCTTGAAACCCACCAACAAATTCCTGTTACAAACCAGCCCTGTGCCTCTCAGCACTTTCATCCACCTTTAATCTCCTCCTCCTCCTCTTACTTGTGAAGCAAGATCGCAGTGAGCCCTGTTATTGCCACCTACTGGAACAAAACCCACAAGGCTACTTAATTATAAAATATCACAAATTGTGAATGCCGTTCCTCAAGCCACCAAACCCCACCCGCCTAAGACCCCTTCCTGAGGTCTCTGGCCACGACAAATAATTCCCACGGAAGGAGCCCTCGGACTGCACTTCAAACCGTCCTTCCTCGGACAAACTTCGGCCACACCAAAAGGCCAGCAGGCCTTGCTCTGCCACGCTCTCTGATCCGCAGGGACCGCGCGGTCTTAATGCGAGTCTCTTTTCCAAATGTTGCAATTTGGTTGAAGAGGGCCTGATCCTGGGGGCCAAAGAGCCAGAAATCAGAGACCTCCTCCGAGAAGTCCCGCCTGTTGTGGTCTGCGACATTTTATCTGAAGTTTCAAACACCGCAGGGGACACGCAGGAAAAGGTGTACCGGCTCCTGGGAGGGCTAAGGCCTGCCTGGGCTGCGTAGCTTTTTTTGCATGTTCCCATGCGCATCTCCACCGGGACTGGAATCCAGCAGAATTAAAGCCAAGGTGTGTGCAGCTAGTCCTCAACTTACAAGCATTTGGTTAACAACCGTTATTATTTGAAATTACAGTGGGCTCTGAAAAAAGTGACTTACAACCGGTCCTCGCCCTTACAACGGTTCCAGCGTACTGGGGGTCCCGGGGTCAGAGTCTGGGTGCTGGATGCGTATCCTATGGGGGTGGCAGGCAGGTACCCGGGGGGGGGGGGGGTAGAGGCCATTTGTGACCTTCCCAGCCGTCTTCCACTGACAATGAACTAGAATTCACTTAAGAACCACAGCGATTCGCTTAACAACCGTGGGGGAAAAGGTTGTAAGACTGGGTGTGACTTGCTTAACAACAGAAATTCTGGCCTTGCTGTGGTCGTAATGCGAGGGTTACTTGCACAGTCATAAACCCATTTTCAGAGACCAGACTACAAGTCCAGCTCTACAGCCACTCCGACCCCACAGGAACGACCCCCCCCCAAGTCCAGGGTGGGTTTTGCACCCTCCGGGCAGAGGTTTGCACCCTCCTGGTCAGCCTGGTGGGCGAGAAGAGCCTCGGGTCGCCAGCCCACCCCCCTTTCCCCCGCCTTCTCTCCTGCCTTGGCTGTGTAAATGGACGCTTGTCGCGCAGGCTTGTCCTTAATTACATTCAGCCCCATGGATGCCAATCACAAATCATCCTTGATTAAACACGGCCCCATTGTTAATTGCACATTATCCTTGATTAGACACTGTATATTCACACTGTGGACTCACGTCCGGCTCTCGGTCGACCAGCTCCAGATCCTTTTCACGTAGGCCACTGAGCGAGGCGTCCCTGTCCTAAGTCTCTGCTTTGGATTCTCCTTCGTGGAGGACCGCAGAACTTTTTCCCACCGAATTTAATCGTGTTATTTGTGCCCAGTGTTTTTAACCGATTGAAGGAATTTTGACTACTTCTGTCTTGCATCAGACCGGATGTTGTGTCAGCTGCAAATTCTTTATTCCTTCGTCCCAGCCACTAGTGAAAATCTGGATCAGGGCCAGGCTGAAGAGCAGGCCCTCCTCCGGCAGGCCTCCTTGGGCCCAAGAGATGCTGTTTGATGAGCGTGCTGTTTTTGTTTTTATAAATAAGGAACTTATTCAGACTTAAATGTGTGTCTGTGTGTGCCGAGAAGGAGAATCCTATCAGTCAGTTGTTAGTGCTTGAATGTAAATGTTATGGAGGCTTCATGAATCACCAGATGCCAGCTGAAAAGACGAGATTCTTGCAATGACAGGGACTGACAATTGGTGGCGGTCACTTTAAACCTCTGGATGGCTGCAACACACCATAATACTGTGTTTCTTGTTTCTGAAAGTCCTGTGTCACATTCAGAAAGTTGAGAGGGAGAGAGAAACATTTATTCTTGGGGAAGGCAGGGCAGGGCGAAGGCAGGCACCCACTCTCCGGGCTAAGACCTGGCCCTGCCAACTAGCCTTGGGGGGGGGGGGGTCCAAGAGCACCAGGCATCTCTTGGGGGGGAGGGGGATGAGAGCGGTTACTTGTGGGCTAAAGGCACTCCCTTTGCCCTTTGCCCTGGATTCTAACCTGGTTTTTAACTATAGCTTATATAAAATTGTACTATTTTATCTGTAGTGTAAATAAATAAGAATGGAAAGGAAGATCCGAAAGGAAAGTGAAGGAGGGAACGTTCGGGAGGCGCATCACTCCGTCTTCCTCAGCTGAACGCCTGCAAACGCTGCCACAAGATGGGAAGACGTTTTGCTGAACACCCTTGTCTGTCAAAGTCTCTGCTAAGACTTGGCTAAGTCTTTTCTTAATGAAATCCTTGCTGGTTCTCAAATCCCGGCGGCTTCATTAAGATGAAAGGGATGGGAACAGCCTGTAACAAAACCGCTCTCCTCTCCATCCCGGGTAGTTTAACTGGTAGCGTTCACAGCAGTGCTAAAACTGCCCGGCCTCATTTTATCCATGCGGCCTGGATAAACGCAAGTGGGCTGGCTGCCTACAGAAGGACAGCCCTCTCCTCTTCCTTTCCTACTTCCTTAGCAGGCGTTCTGGAATTTTCTCTGGGTGGGGGAAAAACGTATCAAGATAATGGAGGAGAAAATTCCTACAAGTCTTAATACGAAAGAGGCTGAGGGGAAATCAGAATTAAAGAGAACTGAGGCTTGTTGTATTTTATGGGTTTACAGCTTAAACTACTGCACTGAATGAGAACTCTGTTGTCCTATAGAAAGCAACGTAATTATTTTTTAAGGTTCCCTCTTGTAAAGGCTACCGCTTGAAAAAAAAACAATCCTTCTAAATAAAACTTTATGATATTATTTATAATAGTACTGTATCAACATGCTGATGGGGCCCGGCTTATCAGCTCCACCTTGAGCCGTCAAAGTGTCGCTGTGGCCGTCCTGCATGGGGCAGAACAGGATTTTGGGTTCTAGAACCCCGTTTCTGAGGATTCTCCATCTCCTGTTCTGGAGGGGGTGGCCTTACAGGACAAGTGTGCGATTTGGGGGTCCTGCCTGAGACGGGCACCAGCTGTGAGCAGGAGAGCCTTTGCCCAGCTCCGTGTTGCGTGCCTGCCCTGTGGATCCCCATCGCCCCGGAGGTAAGTTTGGTCCTGACCCTGCTGGCCTTTCACAAAGCCCGGAAGACACGGCTGTGTTTCTGGGCTTGAGAGTTGGAGCACCTGCTAGAATTAGCGAAATAATTTTTGTTGAAATATCTGTATTGTATCTGTACTGAATTCTTTGAAAACCTCAGTTGCCAACTGTCTATTTTGTTGTTTTAACTCTTGCAGGCTGCCCGCTTATAGTTCGAGACGTGCAGCCGTGCAGAATGAATGAATCAGTGGCGAGTACAGCTATAGGAAAAGGCTTCTGCAAGCAGAGGCGTCCACCACACGAGAGATGGCAGCCGTTCTTCCCTGCTGCTCGACAGGCCTTTTCAATCCTCTGAGCAGAATCGGGAGCTTGAATAATTAAGAGTTCACAACTGAGACTGTGGGAAAAGGGCCAAGGGGAAGGTGGCCAGAAACTACTACGGGCCCTTGGCCAGAAACTACTACGGGCAGAACAGATCCATTCTACCCAGCAGACAAGGTTTTCTACTGCTTTCTACAACTTGGTACGATTGTGTTCATTTTGCAACCAGGACGAACTCTTCTTGAGAATAAATATCTATAGATTCATCCCTCTAGCAGGTAAGTAGCTCCAAAATGTTGAGAAGTCTGCCGTTATTACAATTTCACAACCAAACCAGGTGACCTGACATAGGAATTTTCACTTAACGGGATGCTGGTGTTTCTCAGCTCCGAAGACAATTCTTCCTTAAGACTGTTGATGGACATGGCTAATCCCTTTAATGTTATCTGAGGTGTTATTCATTTAGGCACCCAGCTCAGACCTTCTGATTTTTATTGCATCATTCACCAGAAAGCTTGCTAGGAAACCATTTTAAGATCCACTTGAACTCTCCGTTCAATCAAGGAAAGCGTCCAGCTGGCCTCTTCTACTCCTGTCCTGTCAGGCTGGCGGCACCCTGTGTGCAGGGCAGGGCGCCCAAGAGCCTCCTCAGACACGACGCTCGGCCGAAAAGCCTCAGCAGGGAGTCTTGGGGGGGGGGGCAGCCCCGATCATGTAAATTCTGGTTTGAGTTTCCAGAGCCCTTCGCCACTCGGCCTCCTATGGAAAGTGCAGAGGTTTCTCAGAAGCTCCCGGAAGATGCAGGACTGCTCCGTGGTCAGCTTGGAGCCAAATTCCTGCAGAATTTCCCGAGTGCTGGCCTGGCCCTGCAGCTGAGCCTGGAAAGCCAGGAAGTTCCGGATATCCGAGAGCAGCTCGTCCTGCTCGGTGGCTGTGGGGGCCCCGCGGATCGTGTGCTGAAAACTCCCCTCGGCCGGATCCTCTCTCTGCTGGGATCCAGTCAGGTGGTTCCTCTCCTTCATTCTAGCCAGCAGCGAAGAGGAGTCCAAGGCGCTCGGAGAGGCCTCTGCTGCCCCTGCTTCCCCGTCCAAGGGAGAGATGCCACGGGCCTGCTCCCCTCCTCTCTCTCTCTCGCCCTCCTGCGAAAACACACAAAAATGGTGGGAGGAATTCTCGTATCATAGAACTTAAAACCGTTAAAAGTTGTTTTTTTTTCCTGATTTGTGCAATGCCTGAATCCAAACAGCAGGGCAACCCCCTTTATAACCCAGGACAAGCACACGCTGCAAAACTGCAATTTTATGCACGCTTTCGTAGATATAGTCTTCAATGAACACAAATGAACTGAACTGAGTAGATGCCAGTCGTTCTGCAGGTCCCTCCCTCCCTCCCTCCCACAAACGGGTGAGCTGCTTAGAGCAGAGCTCTTCCGGGCCTTCCTCGGCTGATGCGGATCTGAAGGGGAATCCACTCATTTGGCCAAGTGGAGAACATTATGACCTCCAAACAATGAGAATAGTTTTACGATGGAAGTAATTACCAGAGGAGTTGTGTTCATCCTTCTATGAAAAAAAGACCCCTGAATTGGTGGGGTCTTGAAATAGTGAGTCAATTTGATTCCTTGATTGAAAACCAGACTGAAGAATTTGCCTTTTCCGTTCTTTCTTCCTCCCCATCTATATATTCCACTTAGAGGTACGCCTTTAAGGTGTGATTTGGATTTGATAAGGCATTCTAGGTTAAACCCCCAGGTAGGTCTTGCATCAGACCCCACTAGGAAAGCTCCCCGTGTCTACACAGGGAGGACCCTGGAGATGGAAAACCATCTCTGGCTCTTGAAACCTGCTTCGAAAAGGTGGCCAGGACCTATTTCTTCTCCCTTCTGGAACATGTTTTGGGGATCTTTTAAACCTGCATGACTAGAACTGAGGCCCAAGCGTCATGTGAAAAAAAAAAGAACACACCTCCTGTTGATACTGATAGCAAAGACAAGAAAATGAAGAAGTTGCCATCCATGAGATGTAGCCACATTTATCAAAAGGCGCCTCTAACGTGCCACCTCCCTGTGGAAGTCAAAAGGGGGCCATGCAAACTAAGATCAACAGTGGGACTTGTAATCAGCAGGACAGGCTCAGCTGCTTTTGCATGCAAGATGTGACTGTCTGTCAAGAGAACTGGGCTTCTTACGTTCACTATGAGCTGCTCATGTTTCAACTTGCACTTTTTTCCTGAAGCTTCATAGGAAGAAGATGGTATCACGAAATTTGGGTTCCTCTTCTGTCCAAATCTGCTTCTGAAATTAACCAGAAACATATTCTTCACAAACTGATCTCATGGCATCACAAGGAGATACATTTACATTAGACTGATAATATACTGTATAAAATATAGGAAGATTGATCCCATGCACACCTCCTGCAGACCTCTACCCACAAACTACGTCTATTAACTTGTCTCTTCCTTTTTGTCCACTTCCTGAGTGCCATTTTTCTATCTCATTCCCATGCAGAAATATACAACATTTTATCAATGGTTGTGGGAATTGAGTCTGTCTAGCCTAACGAAGAGAAGAACTAGGGGTGACATGATAGCAATCTTCCAATATCTGAGGGGCTTCCACAGAGAGGAGGGGATCCACCAATTCTCCAAAGCATCTGAGGGCAGAACAAGAAGCAGCGGATGGAAACTAACCAAGGAAAGGAGCCAACGAAGGAGGAATTTCCTGACTGTGAGAACAATTAACCAGGGGAACCGCTTGCCTCCAGAAGCTGTGGGTGCTCCACCACTGGAGGTTTTTAAGAAGAGACTGGACAGCCATTGGTCTCAAATGGTACGGGGTCTCCCGTTTCAGCAGGGGGTTGGACTAGAGGACACCAAGGTCCCTTCTAACGCTGATATTTTGTTATTCTGTAACTTCTACATAACATTCATTTGGAACTGGGAATATTTAAGCTTTTGGCAAGCCAGTGTTCTCATGTCCTATGAACATAGTCAAGAAATAAGAAGACATTATCTACCTCAAAAAAAAAATGAACGAATGGTTATTTTTATTACGGTCACTGACCAGAATTTATCTCATAAAATAATGTAAAGATAAACGAGATTAGGGAAATTTCTCTCGCCTAACAGCCAAGGAGCATCAAGGTAGCTTGTCCTTCAATATTTTAGGTGGCATCAGTAGATTTTTTCCAAGCTTCCTTTTTAGATACTGAAGCTCTATAGCTATTTCGTAATGGCTAAAATACAGAATCTGCGCACTTCAGCAAGACGCATGGATTCTCAACAGGGCCGGCTATTCACTTTCTCTCTGAAAAAGTTATGCACCTGGATGCAGCAGATCAACAAATAAGATTACACTGTGAGAGAGACCGACTCTCCGGTCCATGAAGCGGAGTGCCGTCGTAGTGGACGCGGAGGGAGGAGGGCCAGCAGGCTTACTTTAACCCGGCTGGGGTGTCATCCGTCCGCGTGGAAGCAGCTCCCCGGTATCGTTGTCGAGAAATCTTCAGGGCTCGGAGGGCGTCTTGAGCGACACGGCTGGCCTCGGCTTCCACCAACACATAGTCTGGACTGGAAGCTTCCATGATGGCATCATGCTTCATCACGCTGTGTATTCCTGGGAGAGGAAGGAGTTAGGAGTCAGAACCCCCATCTCCCCCCTTCCCTTCGCCTGGGCGCGAGCAGGAGGCGCTCTGCCCGTGAGACTCAACCGCTGGCCTAGAAGTGCCAGGCCATAGCCGACCCGCTTCAACTGGCTTCCTCGCTTCTAGACAAGGGGGCCCTGCCCATAGACTGCCAAAAATAAAACCAGTAACTGTCCCAGGACAAAATGTGGAGAATGCCACAATCTGTCCCGGCCAGTATCTCCTTGGCTGGGGAATTCTGGGAGTTGAAGTCCAGGCTTCTTCAGGTGGCCAAGGCTGAGAAACACTGAGACGCACAACGAACCCTGATGCACGGGTGGGTGCATGGCTGACTTTCTTGCCTTGACCGATTCGCTATTCTGGAGAGGATATTAGTTTCTCTGGGTGGGTTGGAGAGAGATGTCAAGTGGGGCAGTTCGATATTTGCATTAATGCTAGCTAATTTAAATCAATCCCACCGTCCAGGGCCAGATCGATCGCCCTCTAGGCTCCCAAAGAAACCGGTAGAGGTGATTCCACAACTGCTGCCTGGAATTGTGTAATTTTTGAGAACTCAGGGAGGATGTGTGAAGCCCCGGGAGAGGGGAGGGGGGCCAAGGCCCTCTCCCTCTTCAAGAGGGGGGTGAAGAGGGAGGGGGAGCTGCCCATCTGTGGTCCATATTGGCCAAGGTTCTCCTGAAGATTAAAAAGCAGGGTTTCTTCTGTGATTCAAACAATCAAGTGGGGTTTATGAAAGCTAGACCTGGATCAGGTGACTTTCAGCTGGTGGTGGATGTGACTGCTTGAATGAATAAGGAAGACCCAGTTGCCTCACGCAGAAAAACATCCTGATAAACCCTACAGGATAAGTTGGCATGTGCTACAATCACTTCATTGGATTTCCTAAAGGATTTATAAAACGAGTCCAGATCTTGCATGTAACCCCGAAATCTAAAGCAAAGGTTAATGGTTTCATCTACTTTCGCTCTATCAATACATTAAACAAGGATGTCCACTTTCTCCTTTGATTTTTAATATACAGTATGTGTTTTAGAACCCTCAGTCCTTGCGACTGGACACGATCGGGGGTGGGGGGGGGGTAGGAGGAAGGAGAGCCGTAGTTTCTCCTTTCCAGCTCCTGAGTGAAAGGCAGAAAGTAATAAACAAACGTGCACAAACTCATCCAGACTGTAATTATTTCCCTGCTGTGTCTGTATCTATCAGCAACTATTTTTATGGAAAAATAAACTGAAATAAATTATTTGGATCTCTGTCACATTTGGAATTATTTTTAAACAAAATAGCACAACGGAAGAAAGTTACCTGATTTTTTGAAAAGCTTCTCCAAAACGTAATCATCGCTTTTCTTTGGCTCTCGCAGTCCCGCTTCACAATCTTCTTTCTGGTACTTTCTCTGCTTCACCAGGTGAGGAATTGGCACCCCCTCGAATCTGGCACCCCGAGAACCTTTGGGCCTCTTCCGTTTGCCCTTGCGAGGCCCCGGGGTGGAGGTTGGCTCCCCGGGCCGACGGCCGCCCTGCTGTCCCCCGGAGCCTGGCCTCTCCCGGCCCTTCCCCTCCTCCGATGTGCCTCCTCCTCCTCGGCCCGGCCTCTCCCCCAGCCCCGAGGGCTCCTCTCCTGTCCCCAGGAGCAAATCCGCACTGGCAGTGGGAATGTGGGCAGGGTCTTTTGGAAGAGGACAAGGGGACAGCGCTGAGCTTCCCTCGACCAACGACTCCCCTGCTGCAAGGGGCGCATTTTCATGTTTTCTTGCCAAGAAGGAATTGGACTGCCCGGAGGTCGGCTTTGCATGGGGCCTTCTGGAAAATCCAGAACCGTTGGCGTTGCGACGCTTCAACGGCCGCTTCGGTGCTGGAATATCAGAGCCGGTTCCTGAAAGGCATCACACAAACAGTCACCGTCTGCTCACGCCTCTCCCTGCACGTGTTATTAGGCGAGCGCACCTGCCCTGGTGCAACACACCTGCAAAGAGGGCGCTGGTCTCTGTCCCCTGGGCTCCGTCCGGGGCGCTCAGGGTGAAGAGCTCGTAGAGGTCATTGGACTTGAAGAAACGCCTCTGCTTTGGGTCTTTCAGGATTCTGTTCGTTAGAAACTGTTTGAATATTTGCCTGGGAAAGCAACATTTTGTGATCAGGGACACACATGTTCTCTGTTCAAAACTTGACACATTTTTCCTGCTATATCTATTCTCTCTCTCTCACACACACATGGACAATTCCACTACAGACATGTAAAAGATCTCAGGAACTTAGAACACTTCTTGCTATGCTTAAATTCAGAATTACGCTCCATTTTTAATAACCGTCTTTTGTCTACTGCAACTGTAACTCAAAAGGGTTCCGCGGTTGCAATCAAACCATCAACTGCAATAAGTGTTTCGTCCTCCCTGCCAAGGACAGAGGGGGGCCTGGGCCACGCAACCCAAAGAGGAGAAGCGGCTGGATCCAGATTCTCAAACCGACACCCGGCAGAAAGAAGGGCAGCAGAGGAGCCCAGCAGCCGCCTCGCACCGACCTGTGGTAGATCTTTTCTTCAATGGTCCCTGCAGTGAGAAGCCGGTACACAGTCACATCTCGGGTCTGGCCGATCCTCCACGCGCGTTCCCGGGCCTAGAACACGGACACCAGCTTGGCAAGGCCCCCTTCAGAGGGCAAAGAAGGACCAGGCAGGGTTGCTGCTAGGGTGAACACGGCTCCCAGGGCTCCAAACGCTCGTCCCCACTTTCCAGGGGTGGCCCTCCAACAGTTGGGAAGCGTGCTTTCCAGCTAAACCCTCGGGGTTCTTTTATTTCCCCTTGACTACGGGAAGGTGGGGCTGTTCAAAATCATTTAATGGCTCAATGAAAACACGCTTTTGTTAAAGGTACGGTTCTTCTCCAGTGACCCACCTGAGTGTCTGTGCTGGGATTCCAGTCAGGGTCATAGATGATCACCCGGTCGGCCCCTGTCAGGTTAATCCCAAGCCCACCAACTCGAGTAGTCAGGAGAAAGACAAAGATGGACGCATCCTGCAAAGATTTTCAAGACACAGCATCCCTAGGAAACGTCCTTCGAAGATCCATCACACCCTCCGCCTTTCAAGGAGTGGAGCGCAAGCGGGAGGCGAGTCTCGCGTTTCTTTTCAAGCTTAGGGATGCGGGCATCGATGTTTCCACGCTATGTAATTTTATTGCCCATTATTTCAATCACGGATTGGATAAGACAAACCTCAACAAAAAGGGGCAGAAGCCTCCGATACAGAGGATGACCAAGAAGAGAAAACCCAGAGCCTTACCTGGAACAGGCCCCCATATATGGGGAATTTTGAGCATAAAGTGTTTGGAATACGGTACTAGCAAATCTTACAACTCTGGGCATTTGCCGCTAACTGGTTCGGATCGGTTGGGGTTAACTCTGATCAAACGTATACGCAGCTTACGCCGAGGCCTCACCGCAAATTCCTCACCTCATTGAATCTGGCAATAAGAGGCTGCCTGGAGGCCACTGTGGTGGTGCCATCCATTTTGAGGTAGGAGTAGTTCCTTTGCTTCAAAAACACTTCCAGGATGTGCAGCATCTGCAGCATGGAAGGGAAAACCCCCCACAGGGGTCTCTCATTACGGCCTTTAGCAGCACCCAGGATGGGAAGCAGCTCTGGCCTGCCTCAAACAGAGGGCAGCTCCATGAAGCCAAGTGCCTTTTTGCACAAAAGAGGCCTCCAGCCACGCAGCTATCCCAATGCACTTACACCGTGGCCAATCCTGAGTTCCAAACCTGCCAGCCGTCTCGTCTCTTGACACTGACCTGCCTGGACTGGGTGAAGAGCAGCAGCCGGTGGCCCTGCCGGTGCCAGATTTTCAGCAGAGACTCCACGACGATCAGCTTCCCAGAACGCTTCCAGAATCCAAACTGGTCTTCTTCGCTCAAGTCTTCCTCGGGGGTCCCCTTCAGGATCTTAGGTCCACCAGAAAAGATATCTGGATGGTTGCAGATTTTTCTCAGGGCTATCAGTCCAGGGAAAATCTGCATAGGAAACACAGCCGAGCAAAGCCCTATTATGGAGCCCTATCTGACTGACAGAGGGGTTATACATCCATTTACAAATAATGATTCCGAAAACAGTTCTGATCAGAGCCCCAGGAGACAGGTGGGGTTTATCTGCTGAGTGCCATATCAGTATCAAAACTCTGCCCACAGAAGGGCATATATGTCCCCCAAGTAACACCTGAAAGGCAAAGTCAGTGGGCAAATCCCGACTCCTGCAGAAGCTCTGAGTAAGTTCTGTACACAAAACACACGACACACACCCTGAGATTATGAAATGTGCCTTGCAGGTTTGTTAAAAAAAATAATTAATACGTGACAAAATTCTGTATACTTTAAAGTACTACCTGAATGTTATCTAAGAAAACGAGTCCTCCAGGAAAAATGCAGGTAGAAACTTATACATTTTATAGAGAAACCGACCATTGAAGACAACATAATGAAAGAGACTGAGAAACAGATAAAAGTTTTAAAAGGTAGCGAAGACGCAAACGATCTTGATGGAAATGTGTGTACTGGAAGTAAATGAAAAAGAGCAAACAAGGTGTGCCTGGATGGCTCCTCCAAGGTCATCCAGTTGGCCTTCATGCCCCAGGCAGGAAGAGAGCCGGACCTGGGAAGGAGGAACTCCGGTGTCCGGCTGGAGCCTGAAGCCCTGGAACGAGCTGGCCTAATGCAGAGTAATTAGCTGCAGCTGGCAATTCTCTCTTGCTCACGGCTCCCACCTTCTCCCACTTCAGAAGAACTTCCCAATGTGGACCAGCTGCTTTGGGGGGGAACACGATCCTCATGTTGCAAAGATGGCACCATCTTAGATTCAGTCGGCCTCTGAATTAACAGCCATCCTGTCTGTCTTGCTGATTATCAGGGTTAACCTGTTTCTCCCCCCCGGATCCTCACGGCCTCCAGGTAGCACATTAAGACGCCTGTCCCATAATCGGTTCAGTTTGGAGGGAGATGGGCAGCTGGGCATCACTCTCGTATTAATGGCAGTGTGTCCCATATTGTCTGGTGACCTTTCCTACACCTACACACACACACACACACACACACACACACACACACACACACACACACACATCTTGGAACTCAACCTTTCCTGCCCTGGCTACTGAGTGGACTGTCCACTCAGGAAGGAGTGACATCTCCTTCCTTCCTTCCTTCCTTAGAGACTGAGAGGGACCCTTCGAAGCCCTTCAAAGAGGTTAAGGGGGCAGGAAGGTCGGGTGTCCAAATCCCGCTGTGGGTCGCTGGTGAGAGCAACCCGTGCCATTCATGTCCCAGGTCCAGGCCTGAACCCCGAATGAAGAGGACAGAAAGGTCAGACAGCGAACAGTGTTAGTTTAAATTAGTTCCATTTACTTTTTCTTCAAGCTCCGGCCTTTAATTTGTTCTACTGCAAATGGCAATAACATCAACACTTTTCTTTGGGTAACCTCTTAAATTGGTTACTTTACTGCATTTTACCTGCATTTCTCTGTTGAGAATCTGATAGACTTCTTTGGAATCAATAAATGTTTTGTAAAGTTGTTGCTGTTCAGCCGTCAAGCGACAAAATAATACCTAAACAGAGACATTGAAGAAATTACTATACTCACATCGTACTATAAGCCAACATGGACTTAAAGCAATAAAACGACAAACGCTAATCCTCTCCCAGAGTTTACAAATTGTGGCTTTCGTGACTGGGATCAGCGTCTCCGTGGTGCCAATCTCCGAACGCCTCGGCTGGCCTGCCAGAACTCACAATATGTCAGGCCCGACTTGCAGGAGGGAATCCCACTTTGTCTGCAAGCATAACTTTTAATTAATTCCAATTTGTGAGATGAGTTCCCCTGTCTGTGGATATCCGAGTGCTTTACCCACAAAATGTGGCAATCTCCTGCCAAGAGATGTCACTCTCAAATTCCACCACCCTCTTCTCAGTCTTCAGGGCACCAGAATTTTAATTGTAACCTTTGTTTTTAAACTTAACTAACTCAAGTGTTCACTGGAATACAAAAGAAGGTTATAAATTGAACAGATTTCTGCTCTCCTAAGGTAACTGTCCATAAAGCTTTCACCACACATTCTAAATTTTTTCAGATATCTGGCAGCAGATTGTAAACATAAAAGAGAATTTAAATGAGTGAAAATGGTATATCAGAAAATTGTTTTTTATGTTTTATGAAGTAGGCTATCTAGAGAACCCACTGAGACGAGCAATTATGGAAATCAAACAAACACTCTATTTTCAGATTTCTTGGGAGGCACCTGCAAAATAATACAGGCCATATAATAAATAATAGTGCTATACACTGTAATTCAGTGTCAGCTGCAAATGCAGCTCAGTATGTTTATGAGGGTCAAAAGATCACTGGGATCTTCTTTGATAAAGGCTTATTTCCGGAATCCTTCCAAGGTCAGTAAAATGAGGACCCAGATTGTTGGGGGGGGGGGGCAGGGAGGCGTAGCGGCAATATGCTGACCCTGTAAACTGCTCAGAGAAGGGCTGCAAAGTGACCTTGAAGGAGGTATATGAGCCTAAGTGCTCTTACTATTTACTTGAACAAGGAGCAATTGGTCTGTAAGGGATCTGATCTGAATTTACTCCCAGCTTGAAGTTTAAGGAGTAACGTTTTATTTGGCTAGGCCAGACCTTCCTTAAGGTCATTCCGTGGCTCCAAAAGTGGCATCTGACCAGAGGGAACCAAAGGAGTGGTTGTGTCCACAGGCACTTTTCTCCTCCCAGGAATGGGTTACTCAAAGCCTCTCTTCACGTAAACAGGGAAACTGCACAAAATTAAACTGTACCTGCTCATTTTTATCCGGCAAGGAGAGGGTCATCTGAACATCGGCCTTCATTCTGCGCAGCAGGTAAGGGTTAATCGTGTCCCGTAAGATACAGGCACACTTGTACGCGGTTTTCACCTGGGCGGGGGGGGGGGGAGAAAGGCACCAGTGACTTTACTGAAAGTATTTCTCATACTTCTTTTATTCCAGCATGGAAATGATGGGGAAATAAGGATAAAAGAAAAAGTGAAGGATAATAAAAAAAAGCAGGAGAGGTATTTAAGGAAGTGACTTCCAGGCTTCTTTTTAGGAGTTACGAACACCACAACTGCCACCTCCATCTCCCCCCCCCTCCGTGTGGCATATCATAGTTCCCTGCTTGCCATAAACAAAAGGTTTTAATCAATAAAACCCAAAATCAGCAGTTCATTCTGATGCATTTTCAGCCAATAAACCGAGAGAGGGTCTCCAAAGGGGACCCTTGATAGACCTTTCAGTGGGACACCCCCCCCTCCCGATCGTTACCTGGACCGGGGAGGCGTTGGAGTACCCCCCCATGGTTATGGGGACCGAGAACTGCTCCAGGAAGACAGGGAGGGTCCCCAATTTCCCTGGGAACACAAAATCAAAGAGGGACCACAGCTCCTTCAGGTGGTTTTGCAGAGGTGACCCGGACAATATGATCCGATGAGGGGTGGAGAACTGCAACAGGGAGAAAAGAAATTGTGATTCCTGAAACAAAAGACACAATTCTGCTGGAATGATGGATGCGGTGTCTTCGAAAGGGCTGCTGAAGATTAAAACCATCGCAGCAGCTGGGCAGAATGGGATTCCACCTAACAGGGCCGTTCTTTCTGAGATCCTGGTTACTTTCCCAAACGCTCCCAATCCCACGGCCTCCTACGCAATTTCACGCACGGCAGGTAGTTTTCTCTTAATTTATATTAAAAAACTCCTTATAAACAAAACCACATAAGAATCAGTATGGTTGATATTTAGAGCTACCAGATTCAAAGCATTATTTTGATGTTATTTAATTAAACCATTTCCTAAAATTCAAATAATATGTAAAGATACAGAGTGAGTTTATCACTGAATTCCCTCTGAATAAACCAAGATATTCCTTGGAGAGGCTGGGAAAGTCAGTGGGTCTCTTCTTCTCCCCTTCCCTGAACCATCCTCTTTTTAAACACGATGATAAATGGATTCAATGCAAAGAGTAGTGTCATAAAGGATTTTACAGAAGTAGAGATAAGGACAGAACGCCTGTTGTTGCTGAATGTACTTTGAAAAACTTTAGTTACAAAGATTACTAGAACTCATTAATTACACTCATTAACCTCACTGGGGAAATGAACACACCCACTTCAATTAAAATCAAAGGAAGTTATGCTCTACGTATTCTTTACCTCTAAATTATATGCACAGACATCAAGGCATTACATTGGGCCTCGCTTGGACATCATTCAACGGAACAGAGGTCTCAAATCCCTCAATCCAAGCAAGGTACACCATACTTCCCATTTTTTTTTTTTTTTTTTACAGAATCCTACCTGTTTGCATGCCAGTGTAACTGCAGCCTTGGGGTTCCGGATTTTATGTCCCTCGTCCAGAATCACATAATGCCAGTTGTGCTTCTGAAGGTTGTCTTGCAACAAGCGGATGTAGGAATAGGAGGTTATCAAGATTCCATTGCAGGCCACAATTTCACGTATCAGCTTCACCTGCAAAAACATTTGTTTTAAAATCATTAAACAGCGAAGGGTCCACGACCACCTGCCTAAAGGCAGAGCCCCCCTTTTCTCCCCACTGAACTGCGTTTTGTTGGACAGGGCCCAAGGCTCAAGCCTTCCAAGATCCTTCTGAATCCTGGGCCTCTCTCTCAAAGTGTTGGCAATCCCCCCAGCCTGGGGTCACTGGCCAGTCTGGCGAGCTCTCCTTCCAGCCCCTCATCGAGACCATTTCCGAAGGTGTTGAAGAGCACCAGGCCCAAGACAGAGGCCGGAGGTACCCCACGGCCTGCTTCCCTCCTCGTCTCTTACGGAAAGATGCTCTCCCGTCTCTTTGCATCCCAGCCCCGTCCCCGTCCCCTTTCGAGCCAGAACTGCCGTCTCACTTTACTCGTGCCAGGCGCTCACGAGGAGAACCTGAGTCTGGAGAGGCCCTTGGGAGGCACCCCTGGCCCTAGGAGGAGGGAGAGGGGCGCTCAAGATTTGTACCCAGCAGGCTCCCCATGGGGCCGCATTACATTCGACTGCGGTTGGGGGATGGAACGCCACTGAGCCAGGGCAGAGCTGATGGTTTTCACAACACAACTGAAAGAAGTACAGAGAAAAGCCAGCAAGCGGAGGACGACGGAGGAGTCGACTCAAGAACACGCCTGGGGCATTTTACAGCTGTTCAGCGTGGTGCGTCTCTTCTGTCAAGTGCTGGGCAGATGGCCTTATGTGGCAGACGCTGGTGAAGAAGAAGCCCACAAAGGAAAGGCTTCTGGGAAAGCAGGAATCTCAATTTACAAGTAATTCTCAGGCCCAGAAGAAAACCAGAGCTATCAGTGGAGCAGAAAACGATCCATTTGTGATGCCCAATTTAAGACAACTATAATTTTGCATTAACTTATTGGCCAGTTAAAGACAAATTGTACCTCTACAGACACACAAATGTATACAATGCGCACACAGACGGCACTTTTCACACATGACCGCTGCCATCATTGTACATTTTATGTTTGCTAACCTTAAGCGAAGGGGGCCAGAAATATGGGGAGAAGGGAATTAATGCTGCCCAACTTCGAGTACTGTTTCTGTCGTGGGCTGGGCCGGTTTTCCTCCCTGCAGCTTGCTTGCTGCATCCCACGGAATTCAGTGGGAGCTTCTACTGTGCAGCGGCACAAAAAATAAAATTGGAAATTGGCCCTCAGACGATTGTTTTGATTCCAGCTTGTGGTAAAACTGCAGGTGTTCCAAATATATCTACAATTATGGAAACACACAGTTTACAAGAGAGAAGTCAAGGAATAGAGTCGATTTCAAGAAAATTACCCTTATTAGTGCAGCTAAGTATTCTTTACTTCTTATAATCTTTTTGGCTGTGTAAACAGGAACATTAAGACCCTGATCAGCAATTCCCAAAACAGATAGGTTTATAAATACATCCAAGCTACTTATTTGCTTTAACAGGAATGCCTTCTGTTTCCTTCAAATCTTTTCTTTCCTATTCTCAAAGCAGTGCAAGTTGGTTTCCGTTTTAGCAAATAAGGTTACAAGAGATAAACAAAATAGTCCTCCAAAGCACCTGAAGGCAGGCATAAGAAGCCACTAATCCAGGAGAGAACCAGCCTAGAACCTAGAACTAAAAGGAGGAATTTCCTGACAGTGAGAACAATCAATCAATGGAACCGCTTGCCTCCAAAAGTTGTGGGTGTGCAGACACTGGATGTTTTTAAGAAGAGATTGGATAACCATTTGTCTGAAATGGTATAGGGTTTCCTGCCTGAGCAGTGGGTTGGACTAGAAGACCTCCAAGGTCCCTTCCAACTATTCTATTCTATTCTATTCTATTCTATTCTATTTACTCTACTCTTAACCTGATTTCAACCCCAATTTTCAGACAGAGGAATATACAGATCTGGGAAACCATTGCTAAACATAAAAATGGCTGAAAACATAGATACCACTAAATGTATGGGCTGGGAGGGTTTCTAAAGACCATCCAGTCTAACCCTTTCAATGATGGCACCCACTACTAAGTCATCCTTAAAACAGGACCTCCAGCCATTTAAACACCATACTTGCATCTTCTGCTATTATTACCCTTGAAGGCAAAGTAGGACAATTTGCAGTGTGCATCCCCAAACATTTTTAATAAAAAATATCTTATTTGCAGAAATCCTCCTGACTGTTGGGCGGGCCCCAAGTCAGCTTCCAGTCAGCTTTATCTACCCATCGCTGGGCAGCATGGCAGCACCGGCTCTGTGAGTTAAGGCCTTTCCGGGGGAGGACACCGGAGGGCCAGTGAGCCAAGCGAGCCCGGCCAGCTCCCCCTCGGTGGCGTTTCTGACAGCCAGTCTCCTCAGGGAACGAAGGCGGGCCCTCTCCCACCCTTCCTGTTCTCCTGTCCCGGTCTCTGGCAGAACCCCACCAAGAGCTCTGCTCAGAACTAAGAACAAACCATCTGAGGCAATTTCAAATTAAAAGCTTGTAAATGCATAACCTCTCCTAGATTTTGCAATTAATAGGGTACGTCTGCAATTATCCTGACTCGGAGAAGCGGCTGCAACATTGTCATTAAAGGATGTTCTGCGAAAGCACTGCTGTTCTCACAGAGAGGCTCAGGAGAGCAAACCCTCCTAGAGGGCAATCAGTGCGCAGGTAGAAAACAACAGTCATAAATCACACTGTCAGCAGCGCCAGGCGGGCAGGCGGTGGAGAGAAGGGGAGCAGCCACACCGGCCGGGGAAGGCCGCTCACGGCAGGCGCAGCATAGCAGAGCCCCACAGCTCGGGTTTTACCCAAGCTGTAATTAATTAAAATTTCCTTCAAGCCAAAACTTTATTAAACAAGGAGTTGTGCTGACAATGAAGGAAAACACGGGGAGGCCATTCATCACGGCCACTTCTCCACTTCAGCTTAAGGTGATGTAAAATTCGCTTTTAAATACTGAAAAGGAAGAGGCTCCAGGGGGTTCACGGGGGAAGGGGGGGCTATCCAAGGCCTTCCCGGCCTGTGTTTCCCCCTTTCAGCCTCTCCTTTCAGGGGGGCTCAATTCTGCCAAGTTAATTTCTTTATTCCACACCGTTCCACAACTGGGTGCCCATCAGAAATACGCACCTTGGGAGGGAAGGGAGGCCCCGCCAAGGAAAAGGGGAGAAAGGCCCGGCTGGACCCCCCTCCTGCCAAAACCTTCGGTGTCCTTCACACTGCTTAGAAAGAGCCTGGGGGGGGGGGGATGGCCTGGCTGAGCCTTTGCTGAGCTGGTAGACTTGCAGGCACACATTTCACAGGACGGCTGGAGGGGCGGGAACACCTGGGCCCTGGCCTGGCTGGCGGAATGGAGCATTTCAGGGTTCAGCCTCTGTGCAGGTTCCGCATGAAACGGGCGGTCCTTGAGTTACGACTGTACGTGAGTCCGGCATTAAGGTCATAAAGTCATGGCGGTTGTTAAGAGGCTGTGACCACATCACCCTGCCTGATTTTAGGACCTTTTTCCAGCAATTGTTAATTGGATGTGGCGGTTGTTAAACAAACACCTTATAAACTATGATTGTTGTTGGGTTTTTTCTGTTTGTTTTTTGTTTTTTGCCAGAAACCAGCAAAAGAAAATACCAGCAAAAGAAACCAGCAAAAGACCTGGTGGAAATCGGGGTCGCATGGCCATGAGAAGCTGCAAAGGCTTGTAAATGTGGGCCCACTGCCAAGCACCCCAAATGCAATTGTGTGACTGCAGTGTGTGTGTGTGTGTGTGTGTGTGGCCATCAGCACCCTGGAACTGGTTTCTAAGTGTCTCTTAGGAGGTTCATCATAAGCGATCGATCATTAAGTGATGACTACCATTATAATTCTGGCTATTATTAACGCACCGGATGTGCAGGGATCGATGTCCATACATGCACCTAAAGCTATAAGAGGCATAAGAAAATACTGCAGTAGAGGAATAATTTGGACGTCTGGACCTACAAATATCTAACAGGTGATAATCCCAGTTGAGATACTCTGTACATCTGCTTGACCAATTGGGTTAATTTTTTAATATTATTACCTCGATCTGTTTTAGTTTCAACACAACTTTTTAGAAGTTTTGTTGAACATCTTGTTCTTGCATTCCCTTCACAAATGCCCTTTTTCGCCAGACATCTCAAGGACGGCTTAATAAGGGAGCTCCGCAAATGCCTCCACCCAGGGATTATGGGAAAGTTACAAAGAGCGGCCAAAAGAGAGGGCCTCACTGACCAAGGCTTGAAGCAAAGGAGCCAAAGTCCGAGACTGTGGAAAGGCACTGCCCAACGACCCTGGCTTTTTGTGCAGCTTCTGAAGGCTGTGAAACTGACACCAAACAGTCAAGCGTCCTGACAAAGCCCCCTCTGGAGAAGTGACCAGGGAAGGAAGCGGGAGACTTGTAGAAGCTCTTTCTGATAGCCTGACTTACACCCGGGCGGTGAGCTCTTCAATACGGCCTGCCTCATGGGACCCGGCACACGGCCATCTGGGTCTTAAAGCAGCCCACGCGTAAAGCCAACCCCGCCTCCAGGTCAGAGGGCTGTGACTGTACACACTCCCCCTTTGGAAAAAGAAGAAACCGCTAAATGACTGCTTATGGGTAATATGCACAAGCAGCCTTCACGAATAATGATACAATATTTGAAATAAATGAGAACTGCTCCTATATGGGACTACGTAATAAAGGCAAGGAGAGCTTGGAAGGCTGAAGTCACAGAATAATGAAAAAGCAGGTACCTTTTTATTAGCGTAAGAGCCCGTCTCGTGCAAAACTGCCACCCTAAATGGCGGCCACCAGGTGTGGAACTCCTTCACCCACTGATGCATGACGGTGGCTGGGCACACAACCACCGTGGGGCCCAGCCCTGTGTACCTGGAGCAGACGGGAGGAGCGCAAGGGTTAAAAAGGGCCCCAGCTCAAAGATGAAATGACCGCTTCTGTACTGTAGGAAACGATTGCCTTATCAAATTTATCAGAAATAAAGAGCGTTCCTATCATACTTCTTTTCACTAAACATTTTAGGGGAAAGAAACATTAGTGAAAATACCCGACGCCCGTCCTTTCAGAAAGTTGCTAAAACGTTTGAACTGTATACTGAAAGTCATTGCGCATTCCTAAAGTTAAAGCAAAATTGAATTTTGTTTTCACAGACCGCAGCTGCCTAGTCAGGTCTTGGAACAGACACGTTTAAGTACGGCACGCACTTACCAGGAAGACTTTTTCCTAGGCACATCCAATGATAATCTCAAAGGTGCTTTTTTCTTCAAAAGGCAACTGGGCTGTTTTTTTTCCCCTGAGGAAGAAGAAGAGAACGTTTTGCTTCTCATCCAAGAAGCTTCATCAGTTCTTCATCAGAACTGATGAAGCTTCTTGGATGAGAAATAAAACTTTTTGTTCTTCTTCCATCGGTTCGTCTCCAGGATGAACGAGCACAAAGGAATTGGGATCAGAGGCAGGCCTCAAGGGAACCCACCAGCCCTTCCACTAGACTAGCAGGGTTCCCTTTTCAGAAACTGAGGGTTTCCACCCCCCCGCCCCCCCCCCGAATTGCTGGATACACCTATTGTGTGGGGGGGGGGGCACTGAGATTTAAGGATGAAAAAGTGCAGGAAATTATACCCTGTCCATCCAGTGCAAGCAAAACAAGTTTCAGGGCCTGTAAAAGCTCTGGGATTGGAGGTTCCCGGCTTTTTAAGATAAATTTCTCCTCTCAAAACTTGCTGCAATTTTTTAAATTCCACGCCAAGATATGATGCTCGTAATTTGGCAAAATACTAAATGTGTAGTTAGACTATGACACAACAATCACTTTTTCTCCTCCTGGGTGGAAATGAGGGCTTCTATTGATGCAAATTATAATTGAGTTTGTTCTTTTTTTCCTTATCCATGTCACATCAGATACTGTTTGTGGCCCACAACTGCAGCTTCCTTGCCGAGCCCTCCATCCTCCCTGCAACACATCTGAACTGGATTCCTTTTCTGTAGCAGCAGCATCAATACCGTAGAAGAGCTTCCCTCTAGAGATTAAGTTCAATCCCTCTTTCTTATTTTTTTGGGAAACCATGAAGACCAAAATGTTTCAGACGGCCTTCTCCTGATTTGAGGTTTGCTATCTTAATCTTCAATGTTTTTACTGTTTATTGCCAATGTAATCAACGCAGCACCTGCTGACTTTGCATTGGTATCCTTTGGTTTCCTCAGTCATCAATCAGGTGTCGTGTCCCCCTGGCCTTTTCCAAAGCCAGCTTGAACCCGACCCAGGGGTGGGCAACTACGGCGACTTCAACTCCCAGAATTCCTCAGCCCCCAGTGGAGTTTATCTTGTCACAAGGCAAGAAACTGGGCTAGTAAAGCACAGAAAACTTCTTTGGGCAACTATCTACAGAAGTTGGCTGGTCTGCAGTGCCCAGTGCACGCTATACGTTCCCTCCCCCCCCCCGGGAAATCCTCTTCCATGAATTATTAATGCCAGTGTCTCTCGTGGCGCCCGCCCTTCGTCCTTCAGGAGGACGGAAACGGGGGAGAGGAGGGGCAGGAGGACACCAGCAGCACGGGACCGATCAGCAACAAACCTGATCTAGAAGGCTCCTTATTATTACTCATTTGATTTTACGTTCAAATTTCTGCCTAGAGAACAAACACATTTCTGCTTCGAGGCCCGGCTACTAAAAAAACCAAACTGTTAAGCTGATAAAAAGTTAAAATCCCTAATCCAACCTGAAAAGTCCTGGCTAATCACGAAGGCCCGGTTTCCTTCCCTAGAGGCAGAAAGAGCTGGGCCAAGACCAGCCTGCGAGGAAGGGGGGCCACTCCCAGGAATTTCCTAGCGCCACCCATCTCGCAAGCAGGCCGTCAGTTCTACAGGAATTTGACACTATATTTTGCATTCGTTCAAGCTGGCATTATCAAATATATTCTACCTTCTCACCTGGAGCATGCCTAACTACACGCATCAATATCATAAACACAGAGCCGCTCTTTACATGTAAAACTGCAATATGACTTCCAAAGGGGTTACAACCAGGCGAAGAGTCCATAGGATGTAAACTATTAATGTGGCCAGCAATCCGTGGGCATTATTGGCCCTTAGTATCTGGTGAGGCTCAGCTACAAAACGAAGCATCAATGCCTGGAATTCATTAAGAGTGTTACATGTTTAATTTTTCCTGCCCTCCAGCTCCACTGTCTCATAAAAAAAATGCTTTGACGTTCCCCAGTAAGAATTAAAGAAATATTGTAATTGAAATATCATTAATAATGAATGTGTTTCTTCTCTATGGCAATACATCCAATGAAATATTAATGGGGTTTCACAGACTGACGGTCTGGAGAAAGAGCACTTGCCTGTAATTTGTGCCGCGCGTCCTGATCCTGCTGTAGCTGAGGCCTGCCAAGAAGACAATTATCTGGGCGGTCTTGCCCAGGCCCATCTCGTCTCCCAGGATCCCCCCCACCTGCTGGCAGTGCAGCTCCCACAGCCACCTCACACCTGTCTGCTGGTACCTGCAAGGAGGGAAGCCGGAGGAGAGAGAGCAAACGTGAGAGACCGTTGGAAGACGGGTCAGCTGGACATCACGACCTGCCTTTTCCTAGCGCAGCATCCGCGTGAGTCTGGCAGGCGGGCCGCAGTGGCCAGCTAAAAGGGCTCTGAATTACACACAGGCTTTTCTTTAAAGGGCGATTTCACGTTTAATATGAGTGACCCTTCAAGGGCTTCCTGTCTTTCATCGGACCCGCAGGGACCATGTTTTTAGCAGCCTGCTCGGTTTGGGGGAGGTGCTGAAACACAACAGCGTTTGACTTCCTAGCAGCCACACGGTCTGTTCAAAGGAAGGGACAACGGGTAAAAGGGTTTCTTCAAATTAAGATGATGTTTTATTAATTGCACTTCGATGGCAAGCGGATGGCTGGGTTCCAGACAGACCACATGTTTTTGATGAAAGGGGGTTACAAACAGGTGGCAGGGATGGAGGGGATCACATAGACTGGGCTGAGTTTTTCCGCTTTTCCTCAGGGGTTTTGGGGGGCATTAATATTTTCTTATTTTAGGTGCAGTAAATTCTAATTTACAAAGTAAGTTCCCTTTTACCCATTTCTTGCATCAAAATGACAGGAAATCAACAAACAGTTAAGAGATAGAAGGGGGGGGGAAGAGAGAGAGTGTGTGTCAAATGACAATTTGAGGCCCAGGGTGTCCAACCATGTGCTAAAACATCACATGGTTTATGAACAAAATTGAGTCCACATTTTGCTGAGTCATATTGTGGTTTATTTGGCCTTAGCTAAGCTTACGTCCAGGCCCTGCAGTATATATATAAACCACAATTTAGGGCTTAACATGTTGTGCAATTCCAGGCAAGTGTGGATTACCAGCAATCATGGTTAGGAAATCAAGGTTTACCATCCATGAAGCTTCTCCTTGGAGGCTTGGGGTAAAAAGAACACTGAAATAAGTGTTGACACAAGTTCCAAGTCAATTCAGCTGAATTAAAATAGGCAGAAGCAGGAGGCCCCTACTTGGTAAATAAATTTTAAGGGAAGATTTACCAAACAGAGGCAATTCTCCAGATTAAAGCAAGTAAATAATTCCAAACCCATGACCAAAACAATCAATTAATCAACTGAAGTTTGAAAACAGAGATCTATTTCATATTTACTTAAAATACGTTCCCCTCCCGCCCCTCAGTGGCTCTTGTGTTAAAAGGGATTGTGGCGCTGACAATCTTTGCCCTCGGGCTCAACAGTGAGAGCCCATGACACACACACACACACACACACACACACACACACACACACACACACACACAGAGCGAAAGAGGGGGAAACGTGAGCCAGGCGCAGTGTGTCAAGTGGCGTTTCTCACAAGGACCACCTGGAATGGGAGCCCTTCAGGTGGGGGCTGGGGGGAAACCATATGGATTTCTAGCAGGAGGGAAGCAGGCAGCCAGGAGGGAGAGTGAGGTTCCACGAATTCTGCCCTGCCCATCAAGAACAATTTGTGGGAACAAGGACAAGAGCTCTGAAAGTCTCATCTGACGACTCTGAAGGGCAACTGTGGTGAGTACGTCTCATGGCTTGCTGGGACGGTCAACAGAAGGTCAGGAGGGCCCCGATCCCTGAAAGCGCTAGGGCAGGGCAGAGGGATCTGCAGCCGCTCACTCCAGCCAGGGACCTAACATGGTCCGCTTTGGTTTCTTGTAACTTTCTCTCACCCACCAGTACTCTTTTCCACAACAAATACAGTCCAGGCTGCAGTAAATAAACAAAAGAGCACTTCCGTATATTTTGCAAAACGAAACATTTCTTTACCAGAAAAAATAAGGGCTGGTGGACCTGCAAATTAAACACACTGATTATAAATCTTAATAGGACGACTTTACATATGACAGCAACTTTCACCCATTATCTGAGGTGTGATTTATTTGTGCCTGCACCCTCTTTCAGGGGCAGTCTTCGCTGAAGCGACTTCCAAAATTCTGCTTCGCACCGCAAAGGTTTGGGGAAAGAAAAGTTTAAAATACCTTTGATGATACTCAAGGATCACCTTCCTCATGTGGGAAAAACTCTGGTGTTGCACACATCGTTTCCTAAGAAAGACCAGTCCAATAATCTAATCCCGACAGGCTGGTCAATAACAGCACAGCCTTCATTTATGAAAGAACGAAGGAGAGACAGCAGCTAAGTTATCTTCCCCTCCCCCCCCCAATATTCCTTGACAATATGTTGATGGAAGATTCTCAGTCATCCAGCTGGAGTTGTCTGAAGGTGGAGCAGTCGTGGCCACTGGAGTCGTTTTGTTTTGTTACTAGTTTGAGAGACGTTTTGCTGCCCATCCAAGGAGCTTCCCTCCTGCAAGGCATTTGGGGGGGGGGGGATCTTCCCTGAGGTCGGTGTGGCAGAGGGTCTCCAACGACTCTCTCTGCCTAACTGGCTTGCGCTGACCGAGGAAGCTGCCTGGATGAGCAGAAAAAAGCCTCTCAAACCAACAACAAAATTAGTCCGGTTGCAACGACTCCACCTTCAGCCATTCCTTGGCAACCTATAAAATGAAGTCCCACTCTTCAAACCCCTAACATTTTAAAGTGCTTTCCCCATTTCTGAATTTCCCATGTTCTGATATTTCTCTCTTCTCAAACATACTTCAGACCACGGGCCACTATTGTTAAATACGGCCAAGCTAACCAGAGCGGTTGTGCTCGACAGAGGGGACCCACAGCTGCAACCACCGGGGACAGCGAGCTCTTCTAGAACCCCATTTCCAGTCCTTCAAGATTCCCCCAAAATTATTCTGGCCCTAGGAAAGAAGCAAGAGGTTTTTAAAATAAAGCTTCTGAGAACAAGTTTTAGTATACCTACTTGTATAGCTTCTTGAAGAGGGAACCTGGAACTTTAAAACCCTCCAGAAATTCCTCATCGCTTTCGTCAGACTCTTCGCCCTGGCTCCGGCGCCCTTTTCGGTCTTTCAGCTGCTCTCTGTGCCACCTCCTGAAATCACGGTAAGAATTCACCACATCACTACTAAAGTCAGAGAACCTGATCCTTTAGGCAGCTCACGGGGAAGAAAAAGTAAACGGGAAAAGGGTTATTTTATGTAATCATCATCATCACCATCTGTTCCCAGAGCACAGCAGGCTTGCTCTGGAAATGGACAAACGTTTAAGCCAAACAAATCAACATTTACAATATCCAGACCCACAATAAGCAGCAGCCTAGAGGTTAACCATGAAGCCCAGTAACGGAAGGACACCGCTGGGGAATCCATGCCACCACAGGACCATCTTTCCTTGAAGGAAAAGGAACTGGAGCTAAATATTCTGCATCAATCGATGTTCAGGCTCAGAGGCCTTTTAGCCAGGCGAGACAGAACGTGGCCAACACCGACCCACCCGATGCGAAGGGTTGGGGGCTTTCCCCATAACAGCCTGCCTGTCCCATTCCCATCCCTGCCACCCTCCCATTCATCCCAACTTCATGCCCGAGGCATTTTGCTCTCCAGAGCGGATCAGGCATATAGATTTAAATTTATAATGGCGTATAAATTTAACAAATAAATAGTAGCCATGCTGCCTGAACCACTCTGGGCAGCGTGACTATTTATTTATTAAATTTAAATGCCATTATGTACTACTAAATGTCTGCTGAATTAAGTTAGTGCCAATGACAGAAAACACTTTTAACTCCTTCAGCCCGACCTCACAGTCTGGTCATTTAAGTGAACAGGGCCCCGATCACGTTGAGAATGGCGATCTGAGGTGGGCCGAGGAAGCAAAATGGGCCCTGGGACGTCCGTGCCTCACGTGGGTTTTTGACTCAGTCTTAAGACCTGGCAGCTACGTGACAAACCCGTGGAGTTTCCCTGGCAGTGTTTTCAGACGTGGCGTGCCATTGCCTTCTCCCTAGGGCCGGGAGACTGGCCCCAGCTGACTTGCATCCCTAAAGCAGGACTAAAACTCCTGTGGCCCCATCCTGGTCCAGCGCCTTAACTATTGTACGCCAAGTGAGTTCTCTGGGAGAAACCTACTTTGAACTAACACTGTCTCATAATACAAAAGTACTATGTATAAGAGAGTTTTGCCCTTACATGAGGAACAAGAAATAATTTCTCATAAAAATTCAAATTAATTTATTCAGTGGAAACTAGGTATTTGGTGAAAGAGCAGACTGATTTCCTAGTTTTACTCATAACATGCATAAATTCTAATTAAAAAAAAAACCAAGTTCCACACTCTCCAGAGAATGAGGAGAGAGGGTGCCCTCTGGTGCATCAGAGACACATCTCCACCTCACTCTCCATGTACAGTCTGAACCGGCCTGGGGCCAGAACGAAGGGAACATAGAGAGCAATTTCTTCCAAGACAAAAGGAGAACGTTTGCAGGGAGACAAAAAGCAAACAGAAATCTTGGGGGGGGGGGGTTTCTGCTTTGAAATTTTGAGTTGCTTTTTTTAATGACTGAAAATGTAACATATGGGGGGGGGGTATTTCAAAATACACGTTTGTCCTCTTTTCAAGACCATGGCGTGTCCAAAGGGTGACTCTGCGCTTGTGGGGAAGGCGACCCTCTTTCGGAGGGGAGCCCACGAGGGCCTAGCTGGGAATCGGACCGGCCGCCCCTCCTGTGAATCCCTGCCCAGGGAGGCTCAGATTCAGAGGATGGGCGGGAGAAATCCATCAAGGCAAAAGCAAAACGAAGCCCCCCCCCCCCACAGGCTCCCCTTCTCCTAGCTCAGGGGTACGCCACCTTGGCTCTTTTATGACTCGTGGACTTCAACTCCCAGAACTCCTGAGCCAGCACACCATAGCTGGCTCAGGAATTCTGGGAATTGAAGTCCACAGTCATAAAAGAGCCAAGTTGCCTACCCCTGTCCTAGCTGAAATGCACAGGAGGGGGAAGGGGAAGCAAAGGGCTGCTTTGGCAAGCCCTCCCTCTCCCAGCCTTCCCAAAGGCCTTGATAACTGAGTTCCTCCCTCAAGCCCTGGGCTGAGATGGCCCTGGAGCTCAGGGAACAGGGATTATTAGTCGCTGGGGCTTGTGGCCGTGGGATGTCTGTGAGCCACCCAGAGTTATGACGCATGTAAACCGAGTAATTCATAGGATGACATTTATTTATTTTGCATCCCCCCCCCGTGTTCCCTGAGACTCCCTAACTTAAGAGAGCTGAACACCTTCTTCATAAACACAAGGCCCACCAGGGACAAGCAAGGAGAGCTCTCTGCACACGTCTTTGGGCCCCCCTGCTCCTCCCGGCCATCGCAGGGCTGGGGGCTTTTCAAGGGCTTTAAGAGGCAGCATCAGAACTTATTTCAAACCCTGGCCGGTTCTCGCCAGCCAAAAGAAGAGCCAAAGGGAGGGGCAGGCTTTTGGCCTAGGCCGGGGGTCTGAACTGAGCCACTGGGTTAAGAACTGTTTCTCTGTGTAAATAAGCAAAAAGGTTTAGCTCAGTTAATTACGTTATGAATATATATATACATACACATACATACATACATACATACATACACACACACACACACACACACACATTTACTAAGGACTTCACACTTTATAACATCTTAGAGGTTTGAAGCACCAGGATCTCAAATCTGACTACTTTCTAATGAAGCATCATTTTTTTAACTTCACGTTCTTGTTTGAAGAGGAACTAAAGAGCCTCTTGATGCGGGTGAAGAAGAAGAGTGCAAAAGTTGACTTGAAACTCAACATTAAGAAAACCAAAATCACGGCATCCGGCCCTCTCAATTCCTGGCAAATAGATGGGGAAGAAATGGAGGTAGTGACAGATTTTATTTTTCTGGGCTCCAAGATCACCTCAGATGGGGACTGCAGCCAAGAAATTAAAAGATGCTTGCTCCTGGGGAGGAAAGCTATGGCAAATCTAGACAGCATACTAAAAAGCAGAGACATCACCCTGCCAACAAAAGTGTGTATAGTCCAGGCCATGGTTTTCCCAGTTGCAATGTATGGCTGTGAAAGTTGGACCATAAGAAAGGCTGAGCGCAAAAGAATTGAGGCCTTTGAACTCTGGGGCTGGAGAAGACTCCTGCGAGTCCCCTGGACTGCAAGGCGATCCAACCGGTTGGTCCTAGAGGAGATCAACCCCGGCTGCTCTTTAGAAGGCCAGATCCTGAAGTTGAAACTCGAATACTTTGGCCACCTAATGAGAAGGAAGGACTCACTGGAGAAGGGCCTAATGCTGGGAAAGATTGAGGGCAATAGAAGAAGGGGACAACAGAGAATGAGGTGGTTGGATGGAGTCACTGAAGCAGTAGGTGTGAACTTAAATGGACTTCAGAAGATGGTAGAGGACAGGAAGACCTGGAGGAACGTTGTCCATGGGTCGCGATGGGTCGGACACGACTTCGCTATTAACAACAACAACAACAACTATCATTTCTATTTTTTACTTTATCAAAACAGCACTTTATTTGGGTATTGATCAACCCTTTCTTATGGAAAATTCTGTGACAACTGCTGCATTTAATTCAGGCAAAGAGAAATACTCTTCAATCAATAGTTTTTTTTCTAACTGTAAAATATTGCATAATTGTGTACAATAAGTTTTAAACTCAAAATGTCCTTTTAGGTTCAAGAATTCTCCCAAATCTCACCAGAAGTTGAAACACATTTAAGTTTGGAACACTCCTGGACGGAACAGCATAATTTCAGTATAATTGGATGATTTCTTTGGACTCAAAACGGCTGTTTTAAATTTATTTATTGGCCTTACAGATCATTACAATCAACGGACTGAGCACTGTACAATTGTACAAGTCCACAATTTAAGTTAAAATTTATAATTATTATAACCAAAACCATACATGATAAATCAATCATTCATATGCTAGGAATCAAAAATTCCAAAACCACAATTAAAACTAATTAATCATTACTGAAGCTGATTCCTTCCTACTTTTATAATGCTTTCAATAATCATCTTCTGTGTCTAACCTTCACAGCTGTCTATTTTCATGTGATTAGACACCTGGCAATAAACAAGACAAAGCGTATTATTTAGTCAAATTGCTATAAAAGGATAGAATTAAGCAGAATTATATTTTTAATGTACTGCAAGAACAAGAGAAAGACGAACTAGTTGATGTTTCAAAATATACCCAGGAATCAAGCTGGGTTTATATATAGTTTATGTTGCTAGAAGACAATACTTTTTTATTTCAAAAAGACAAGAATCCCTTAATGATCATTATCATTTTGGAAACCGAGAGAACGATTTAGTCTTCGGATCTGTTTATGATTTCCACTAGGTCGGTCTAATTGCTGCTTCCTTGGCAGTTGAGATGATGCTATCAAAATTACACGACTTAACAAACAAACAAACAAAAAATGACTAAAAATTAGGAATGAAAGCCTATTTGGATTCCTACTCCAAATCTGAGTTTTATGAAGCTGTTGGTCTTTTGGATTACCCAGCTCTTAAAATGCAACATTTAGGTGCCTCTTGAAGCATTGTGTTTCTTTTAAAAGAGGTTCAAAAGAACTTTAAAAGGAGATAGTCCTTTGTGAGTAGAGAGGCTAGGATACTAGTGTATCCATTCAACACACAAATTTCCTACTACTTAAAAAAGAGGCTCTTCTTCCAACCAGCACATGTTTGGGCATCATCCATCTTCTTCCAAAAACAGAAGAGGGCTTAGCCAAGCGGCAAACTTCTGTCCAGCCAGCCCCTCAGCGGCTCTCTTGACCGTGGCCACAGGGCAAAGGGAAAACTTTGTCCAGGGCGCAGTAAGGACTCCGGCCTTGAGCCATGGGCTGGACTGGAAGACTTCCATCCCTAGGAGTCTATATTCGATATTTGGCAAATCATAAAACAGGCAGTCCCCACATCAGACCTACCGCAGGCTGACACCAGTGGCTACCCTGACACGTGGCGACAGAAACCGCCCCACCCCCAGCCCCCTCCTGGCCACGGCAGGACGGGTCTGTCGCAGGGCCACGTGGGAGCCCTTTCTCCTCCTTGCTTGTCTCCCACCTGTCTCCCTGGAACCACGGTTTTTTAATTGGCCTCGTGCTTCAGATGTTCAGGGGAGACACCCAGCTGGCTGTCAAGCTTCACCATCGTAATATTTTAATCATGATGAAGAACCGTCTCCCTCCCCAGCACAATCCTGAAAGCTTCTCTGTGGGAAGCAAAATTCATTCTCCTTCTTTCTTCTGAAGGAAGTGGGATTCCCCACACAGCCTCGAGAAGGGCTCAACCCAAGCCCACCCGGCTTCCATCCGGTTGTTTTCATCAACTATAATCAAGAAATAAAATGCAAGCAGGAGGAAATGCTATTTGGCTGGCAATTTCACTCCGGTTTTAATCACCTAGGAGCATTTCCCTTAACGGGGTTCATCGGGGGGGGGGTTTGTAGCACAACGGCAGCCGTGTGGACAGATGCCGGCTGACAGCCAGAACAGCCGTGTGAGAGTCTACGACACTTCAGATGTAATGTTCCCCCAGCAATTATAGTTACTGATATCTAAAATTCATTTAGGCTTTTATTGTAACTTCAGCAACTGCAGGAAACGTATGACTTTACAAAGGATGAATTGCTACAGTCTTAATGTTATTAAAAAAAATTTGCTGGAATGGATTTAAAATGTGGATCGTATTAAAACTTTCAATCAAAACAAATTACTCTTGATGAAATACTGAATTAAAAATGATTTAATATTAAGCTAGCTTAATGAAAAAAGCTAACTTTTAATAAAATAACAAATATTTTACATTTAATGTATGTATTAATTCCTTGCAAAATCTCTCAAAAAGACTTTTGATTTATTATTTGTTATTTTAGAAGGAATATTGAACTAAAAGTTTAAAATATTAAACTTCATATTTTGATTTTTTTTTTTTTTAAAAAAAAAAAAAGTCTAGAGCATAACCTTTCAATTATCTATCAAGCTGGACTTAAATTCCAAGGTTGTGAGCTCCAATAACCTTCTAATAACTGGAACCACACAACTGAAATAAGTATTCAAAGAACTTTGGAGTCTCTGAACAAATAAAGGCAAGAATGGAAGAGGAAAAAGCACATAAAAATGGCTAACTTTGTCTATCCAAGATGGGCAGTTCTTTTATAATATCAAATTTGTAACCACCAGATGACAATTATGCCTTTGCATTTACTACAAACGTTCAACTAATTACACTTTTGAGACAGAAGCATCCACTAAAAATATAATACTTTGGTCTATCCTGAAATAGAGAGACTGGAGAGAAAAGGATTACAAGAGAGTAACAGGCACACAATCTCTTTAAGGCATTTTTCCTCTGCCTCATTAGTTTTTTCTCTCCCCCCCCCCCGAGATTGGAGATGAAAGAATTACAAGAGAGTAAGCAGGCACACCCTGGGGAATATGTATCAAAAGGAATGTGGTAGCCTCGGCTGTTTACTGGGATTACTCAGGGCAGGGAGCTGCAAGGGTACTAGGAAAATGATGCTAGAGTGCCTTCCTTCAATCCATATTCCCCACTGCACAGTAGTTCCTTCCTTTCCAGTGACTGCATTAATTCCCTTATTATAATCATCATCCCAGGGTTGGGGAGAGCATTCCCTGGGGCGGGGGAGTGGGAAAACAAAAAGAAAGCTGAAATAAAATTGCAAGCAGAGTTGTGTTGGCATGATTCCCCACTTGGCAACTGTGTCGCCAGTCCCAGCTGTGGTTGCTAAACCCTGTAATTTAACCCATAATCTGGACCTTCCACAGTATAAATATGTGTTTTGCACTGACCTTAACCTCTGCTTGTAGTAGTCTTCATTGCCATCATCGTTGTATCTCTTTATTCTCCGCTTCTTAGTAACGCCCACTTCTCCTTCTCCTTCGTCTCCTTCAGAAGAGCTTGGGAAGAACTCCTCATCCGTCCCATGCTGGCTTTCCTGCTTCAGGGAGTCTTCCCAGGAGACGGGATTCACATCGTCACCCTCCTCCTCCTCCCCAGAGGCCTCCCAGCCCTCCTGCTCTCCCCAGGGGAGCTTGGCTTTGGCCGGCAGCCGGGGAGCCTGCTGCTGCTGCTGAGGGCTGCCACCTTTGGATGGGCCCTCTTTCCTCTGGCCCTTGGCCACAGAGACGGGGGATTTGGCCCGAGGACCCTGCAAGGGCGCTCCGGGCCGGCCTCCCTTGCGGGACGGGGCTTTCTTCCTCTCCAGCAAGAGCTCTGCTTGATCTGCCAGGAGCTTTTCAAAACCCGAAGTTTCATTCAGCATCACCCTGCGAGGCTTCCCCCTCTCTGGCTTCTGAGGCATCTTCGTCCCAAAGGGAGTCATCTGGCCGGTTCGGATCAGCTTCTCCCATTCCGCCTCTTCCTGCGCTGACCTCAGCATCCTCCCCAGGAACGAAGGGCCGGGAGCTGAAAGAGACACTTCTCATTTTAAAGACCTGCGTCGGAATTTCCTCTCCCTAGCGACAATAATCAGGGCAAGGGAGGGTCGTGAGTGCAATCGCTGTCCGTGCTGGAAAAGCCATCCACGTGAAGCAGAGCAAGAACCATCCTCCCATCATCCCGGGAAAGAGGTTGGGAAATAACGGATGTGAATTACCAAAAGGCAAACTCCGGCTAAAAAGTGTCTATCGACCAGAAAAGTCTAGGAGGGCAACTAATCACCCAGGGAGGACTACAGATTTCCTTCCCTCCCTGTCTCTGCTCTGCTCTGCTCTGCTCTGCCGGGGCTGGCTAACCCTTTGCCCGTGACATTTCAAACTCTACGTAAGAGGCCTAAGCGGCCCTTTCCCACCGTGGGCTTAGAAGTTTTTCAGACAGATTGTTCTGCCCAACAACCCTCCTGGTGTTCAAACCTTCAGTTTTATTTTAACTGTTAAAAGGCAAAGCCGTATTTTCTCTGCAAGTCTCCAGTGGGTGTTTATGTATTTCAATATACATAGATAACCACCAATACTCAAAAGATAAACATTGCTCCATTAAAACAATGTTATTCTACTTTGCATAATGGTAACTGCTGACAGATAGTATTGTGATGAAAAATATATTTCAATCATGCTTTTTGTCAACTTAAACAATTTTCTACAGCTCAGCTCATTTGATTAACACTTGCAATTTATTAAGACCAATGTTCTAGTCTCCAGAGGAAACAGCTTCCCTTCTGAGCCATCCCAAGATTGACTTTCATTTGTGAAAAATTCCCACATGCGTACTCAGAGGCCCCATTTTGCAGGTGTGCAAAATTAAAACAGTGCTAAATCTCTCTAAAGAACCATCCGCTGAAATATATTCGCGCATTCATTTGCACTCAACTACCAAACTTTCATTTAAAGCCAGCATGTACCAACACGGCCTCCAAACTCATCCCTGGATTCCTCAGTCTCGCCTTCTTCCACTGCAGCAGCAGCTCTTCCATTGTCATCAGGACCTGCTTCTTCACCAGCATTCTGAAGGTGCTTTTGCTTCGTTTTCATTTTTTTAAACTCTTGCTCCTGAAATGATTAAAAAATTAGTACGAGCCGAGTGGGGGAAAGCCTCTTTCTACACACGGCAAGTCTGCTACGGGTCTGTATGTCAGCAATGGAAAATATACAGTAACATGTACGGGGAAAAGCTACTCTCCCTACCTATGTTTCTGGCCCCGTAGGCAGATTTAAGGCAAGACGCTTTCAATGTTCTTCGTTCAACAGAGTTCCCCATTCACTACTACGGGCAGCATTTTCAAATGGCTGTGAAATCCAGTGGTTTGTTTTTTTTAAAATACATATACATTTACTATGTACAATGCAAAAACATACGATTAGATAAACCTGAATATTCACATTTTAATAGGAGAATTCTTCTCATATTAGAGGTTGAAAGCCACTCATACTTTTGCTTTAAGGACACAAGGAAATCCTTCCCCTCCTACCCACTTTTTAGGATTTCTTTTTTTAATCATATTTTTTATTAAAAGCTTTCACTATAGCAATAAAAGCTAACGCAAGCTAAAAAGAAAAATAGATTAACATGTCAAGAAAGAAAGAAAAAAACCCTAAGAAAGCCACCTCCACCTTTTTCCTGACAAGTATAAACGGTTTCACTACCTCTTCCCCTCCTCCTCTTAATTAACAGATATAAAACCCGTTTTGTAGGATTTTTCCCCAGGCTGTCTATTGCGGCTTTTTTTTCTCAGAATAGCCTTCCTGATCTTTCACTCCTTCTAGGCGCTTCTGAGCATGGACCGGCACCGCGGCATCTTCCTTGATGCAGCTGACCAAGCGTCCAGTCTTTTAACCTAGGGGTCGGCCAGGTACTCATGAAGACAGAGCATATATGACTTTACACTACTACAACTTGCGAAGGACTTTATGCACAACGACTGAAGAACTAGAACAAGAAACATTTAGAAAAATCGCTTCTCAATGGAAATGTTAAGGATCGGATGAACAAGGCTTTATCACTTCTTTTCACCAGGGCGTATTCTAAGCATTTAGTTAACCCCAAAACCAGGTAATAGCTGCTGATTTTGTGAGGATTTCAGAATTAGAAACAATCTGCCACCAATTATTATTTACCAGTAAGTGATACTATGTATACAAAATTAAAATTTCAAATGCATTTCCACAAGTATTGTAATGGATCATTATAACAGCAAAAAATAATTAAAACAAATGTCATAAACAAGCAGTAAATTGTCCATTACTTTGTTGCAGTTTTGTTCTTTCCCAGAATCCGGTTTTCTACTATTATCCTTATTAGCAGCAGTCTGAGGTCTAATTTGCTCCATATGGTTTGTAGCAGATGGTTTTGGAGAGGATGTACACGGCCTGAAAATAAAATACAACTACATTAAAATAATTGGATTAAAAAGTGGATCATAAATATATTAATAAGGTATACAAACATGCTTTTATTTCTGTGGAGCAACAATCTGCCTTACCATGTTGATAATGGAGCTCTTGTAGCGAGACCAGAGGGTGATCTGCAAACTTCAGCTTACAAAATATTTATTATCACCCTGAATTCAATGCAACTTATCCAAATCAGCAATTTCACCTTAATATTTTCACAATGTTAGGCAAAACGAACTGGAATTATTGTATTCTTAGTATTTGCTTACCAGGGAGGTGGCATTTTATGGTCTGAAATCATTATTTTCTCTAGGGTGGAAAAAGGCTGAAACGATGCCAGGAGTCAGCGACTGAATCCACCACAGGCCGATTAGCAGCACAGACGCCTCCCCCCCCCCCGTCTGCAAAGTTTCAGAAGACATTACCCAGTGATGAAGCAGAGGCTTTGCTCTCCAAGGCAGCTGCTTCGTTCCAAGCATCCTGTCCGGTTCCGACCGAGAGCAACCCCTCCCCCCCAGACACACAGTAAAACCTCCTTTCACCTACCCCACATCCTCCCACTCCGCCTGGCCGTCTGTTTCAGCAGCAGCAGCAGCATCCTGGGCTGGGCCCACGTTAGCGGCTTCGCTGATTGCCTTGTCTATCTGCCGAAGGACTCCGTGCTCCAAGACCTCTTGGTCGTAGACCTCGATTCCCAGGCCTCGGAGCTCAAGCGCCTGGTCCCTGAGGGCCACCGACCGAATCTGCTGCCGGTCAATGAGCAGCGTGGGCCCCTTTCGGAGCGTCCCCAAAGAAGCCCCCGTCGACGACGCGTTGCTCTCTGAGGCGTGCCCCTTCCCGCGGTCTTCCAGGTGGTCTTCATGGACCGCCCAATCACCCCCCGGCTTATTCGCGTCATCTGCTCGGCTGTTACTGGCATTGCTGCTGCTGCCGTCACCCACTTTCTGGGCTCGAAGGCTTCCTTCCGGCGGGAGCTTCTGGGCAGGCATCCTCTGTTCAAAGGCAAAAGGAAAAAAGACAGGTTAGGATTTTGCATTTCGAGCAGAATCTCTAGAACACAGAGTAGCAGAGTTGGAAGGGACCTCCGAGGTCTTCGCCCAACCTTCTGCTCGAGCAGGAGACCCTGGACCATTTCAGATAAACGGTTGTCCAGCCTCTTCATGGAAACCTCCCGTGATGGAGCACCCACAACTTCTGAAGGCAAGTTTAATTGCTCTCACGGTTAGGAAACTCCTCCTTAGTTCTAGGTTACTTCTCTCCTGGGTTAGTTTCCATCCATTGTTCCTCGTCTTGCCTTACTTGGAAAATAGTTAGACCCCCTTATCTTTGTAGGAGCCCCTCAAATATTAAAACACTGCTCTAATTTTGAATTTTCATGGAACAAGCCAAAAATCAGCAAAAGTAGTACATTTACAACTTCAAAACCTAATCTAACCTCCAATTTCATCCAACAGCCACTACAGCATCATATTGGGAAGGTTTACAATCTCAGTATATACCACTGTTCTGCAGCCTTAAACATCAACACACTAGCACCTGCTCTTACAGAATTGCTAAGAGAACTTAATATTTGGCATATTTGATGTAAAGGAGAAAACTGTCATCCAGTTAATTTTATTTTAAAATAAATAATATACCATGATACACAATTAACTCCAGAAACATTATTCACTAGGGAGCAAATTGCCTCAAGCAATGATGAATTTGAGACGCCAGGCCAGGAATGAGAATCTGGTTATGTTGTTAACCTCTGGACTACAGACCTAATGTACACAAATGACTAAAGTTGTAATGTGAGAAACAAGCACTCCGTATTTGTTATTTCAGAAATTTGCCTATAAATGCACAGAAAGGATAATGTCACAAGATTCCTCATACTGAACACTGTTTCCCCTTCTTAAAAAATAGAGCATTGCCCTTCAAAGTGAGCATTTATTTCAGAATGTCTCCAGGATACAATAACCCATTCTCCCCTGCCCCTTTGCCATGTTTGCAATTACAGAATAGCAGCACCTTGGCCCTTTTGCCCAACCCGCTCTTAAAATACCTGTACCTGTGCTGCAGAACCAGGTGCGTTTGCCCTGCATGAAAGTCTCCCGGTGGGTGTGTGTGTGTTGGCTTGTTGGGCAAGTCTGCACAGATTCCTTGGTGGCACCAACGTAGGCGTGGAGCATCCCAGCCTTCTCCTCCTCTGGAATTGTTTCTTCTCCTCTTCCTCCCTCGCCTCCAGCCCAGGCCCTGACAGGCAGTGCCCCTTCCACAAGAGACCCCTCCAACTAACGACCCAGCTTAATCCTACCCATTACTCTGCCAGGGTGGCGGGGATGATGGTGATGAGATTTTTACCCCACCTTTACTTAGTTCGACTCAAAGTTGCCCAAAGTCTTTTAAAAATTAGCACTAACTAAAAAGCCCCATTGTAGAAGAAGCATCCTTATCAGATGGCGAAGAGGACAGGCTATAAATCTGATAGATAAATAAATAATTACTATTGTTAGATTCTGGTCAACTCAAGGAGACGACCACGGCTAACCCTGCACAACAGCCCTGCGAGGCGGGCCCACTTTCCAGCCCGGCACCTCAAGGGCCCCAAATGCGGCGTGGCTCGCTTGCTAGAGCTACCTGCCCTCCTCTTGCGCCTCCTGCCTCTCTCCGCCGCAGGGCCAGGGGCGGCCGGGCAGACTCCCGAAGGAAGACCCGCTTGGACGGTCGCCACTCGGGCACCGAAGCGGGAGGCGAGCCGACGATCGAGGCGGCCAAGAAAGCGGCACCTACGGAGCAGCTGAAGAGCCCCGGGTCGGAGCGAAGGGGAACCCGGGGAAGGTCCTCCGCGACGCTCCGCTCGGGGTGAGGAGGAGGAGGAGGAGGAAGAAGAAACGGCGAGGCCTACGCGATCCCAGGGCCGCTTTCAACCAGCCGCGGCACCCGGCAGGACTCTGCGCATGCGCCCCTTGGCTCCTCGACTTCCGGCGGGCCACGCGCTCCAGCCACAAAACGACCAGAGCGCCTGCGCGAAGGCCGCCGAGTTCCGGTTTGCGGGTGGGCCATTGGCTGGGCCCGGGCTCCGCCTACCGGTGGGCGGGGCCGTAGAAGGCGCCTGGGGAGCCGCTCTTTCCCTTCCGGGTTTTCCCGGCTGAGCGGCGCTCAGGGCCGGCGTTGGCGGCGGCTCTCGGGCGGGGGGGGGGGCTGGGCTCCGAGGGCCCGCCCGGTTGGAAGGTCGTTATCGGACTCCTCTCCCTCCACGCGCAGGGCCGCTCTCCCCCCACGGCGCCCCTCCCCATTGACCCGCGTGGAGGGAGAGCGGCCCGGATTCTCCCACCGGGGGAGAGGAAGGAGGGGTTGCCGGGCAACGAAGTGCCCGCGGCAGAAGCGGGGTCGGCGGGGCTCCGATCCTCGAGCAGCGCGGCTCTCTCGCGCCAGCCCCTCCGGGCTCTGGGAAAAGCCGGGCGCGCTTCGGAGGCGGCCCGGCCTCCCCGTCAAAGCGAGGCCTCCGCGGGTTGGAGGTGGACGCGGTTTCAATGAAAGCCGGGCGACCTCCGTCCTTAGGAGCGTCATCGGCCGCCCCCTTCTCGGGAAAGCGTCCTAGACGGTCCCATTCGAGGCCAGAACCGCGTCGGAAGAAGGAGAGGAGCCCAGAGAGCCGCGCCGCTCTTGGAGACTGGAAGAGCCCGAGGCTGCCTTTTGGTGGGGCCGGGGAGGCGGTCAAGGCAACGCCCCGAAGAGCTGCCCGTTGAGGATGGCTAGCAGGGCATTTTCCTGGCACGGTTGGGGGGAAGACGGGATCGCGTCTGTTCGTGGAAGAGGTGGGCCGGCACAGCCTCCTTTTACCCGAAGGTGTAGAGCAGGGGGCCTTCCAACTTGGCCCTTCCATGACTTGTGGATTTCAACTCCCAGAATTCCTCAGCCAGGCACCTTGAAGTCCACAAGCCATAGCGGGCAAGTGGGAAGATCCCTGGTGTATAACAGCATAGTGTAAATAATAATAATAAATTTGGAAGGGACCTTGGAGGTCATCAAGTCCAACCCCCTTCTCAGGCAGGAAACTCTATACTACCATTCTGGACAAATGGCTGTCCAGTCTCTTCTTAAAAACCTCCAGTGTTGGAGCATTCACCGCTTCTGGAGGCAGGTTGTTTCACTGGTTAATTCTTCTCACTGTCAGGAAGTTTCTCTTTAGTTCCAGGTTGCTTCTCTCCTTGATGAGTTTCCATCCCTTGCTTTTTCTTGTCCTGCCTTCAGGCGCTTTGGAGAATAGCTTGACTCCCTCTTCTTTGGGGCAGCCCCTGAGATACTGGAAGACTGCTATCATGTCCCCCCTCGTCCTTCTCTTCATTAAACTAGACATACCCAATTCCAGAAACCGTTCCTTATATGCTTTAGCCTCCAATCCCCTAATCATCTTTGTTGCTCTTCTCTCTCTACTTTTTCCAGAGTCTCAACATCTTTTTTACATCGTGACCAAAACTGGATGCAGGATTGAAGCGGGCTTTTGTCTTTACCGGCCCGAACTCTGTATCCAGTTCAGTCGGAAGTACTTCTGTAGGAAGAAACCACGTCCAGGTTCCTTTCCTGAAACAGTTCAGAGAAATTTGCAGTGGGGGCTGCTGACAGGATTTCTGAGCTGGTGCTTATGAAACCCTGCAGATCTCTGCATTATTGCCGTAGATTTTTGCTTAGAGAAAAGAAGATTTCTCAAGGTGCTTTTTAAGACTTCCTGATTTATGCTGGCAAGTTGTTAATCAGTCTACGGCAGCATAAATAAAATTAAAGAGTTTAATTAAAACTAATGAACGAGCGAACAGAGAATAGATAGCATGTTCCGCAGTCAGAATCCTGATGTTCTCAATAATTAAAGTGTCACAGAAAAGCGATGGCTTAAAAATGTCAAAAATATAGAAGAAAGAAAAGTTTAAAAAAAAAAACAGGCCTGCCATTTCAGAACAGCTTGAGAGTTTATGTAAGCCCAGTAAATATAAAATTCCATTAGGATATCCAGACAAGCTGCATTCCTTCAAATGTACTTTAGGTAATTCTTTTGTTCTTCCTTGTCTATTCATTTTCTTGATTTCCATCTGGAGATGTTTCTTTTGGGTCACCCTAACGCATTATTGTTGCATAAGTATAATAGAGCTCAGAGTTTGTGGGGGTCTGATGGCACGCCTGGGATTTAGGACAATGTTATGGAGGCTCCCAGTCACAATTGAGGGAAATAATGCAGCTCATGGATGGACACGTACGATCACCGAGCAAGGCTGAAGATTGAAATTACTGAGGTTCGGCTACGGATGAAGCTAACCACGGGCTCGACCCCGGCATCCTCCAGTCAGCGTCTGTAACAGACTGTAAACCATTAGAAGTCTTTGGAGTCTGGCCGTACAGAGGAGTAAATAAATATCATAAACGTCACAGGTCATTGAGTTATAATGAAAGCAAGACGGGACTTCTAGTCACATACAGTCAGTCCTCAACTTACGACCACAATTGAGTCCAAAATTTATATTGCTAAGAGAGAAATTTGTTAAGTGAGTTTTGCCCCATTTTACAGCTTTTCTTGCTACATTTGTTAAGTGAATCACTGCAGTTGTTAAGTTAATGGTTGTTAATTGAATCTGGTTTCCCAGTTGACTTTGTCAGAAGGTCACAAAAGAGGTTCATGTGACCCCAGGATGCTGCGACCGTCATAAATAGGAGTCAGTTGCCAAGCATCCAAATGCCAAGCAGCTGTCGTAAGTGTGAAAAATGGTCGCAAGTGACTTTTTTCAATGCTTTTGTAACTTCGAACGGTCTCCAAGTGAACTAACTGTTATATACAGAGCTAAAATGAGATCGGTTTCAGGCTCCTGCCTGCCTAGTCTACCGTAACCAACACCTTGGACACAGACATTTTATTTATAGCACAGATTTTATTTGTGGTAGAAACAGAAACCTCAGCAACTACAGACGCAGGAGCCATTTAAGTGCTTTGTGGTGAAGAAATTCCCTGCAGGACAGGTACAAGCAAACGCAAACTGATGCTTTCTACACAAATGGTTATAAATAAAAGCCAAAATTTTGTCAAACTGATCGTGTAAATGTAACATATAGGCCCCTTGGTATCATTTAAAGGAAATTAATGTGGGAGGCCGAAGAGATGGCGTCTGCAGTATGCAATGCTCGGGAGAGTTGCTGTGATTTTTTTCTAGTACAGAAATAAAGATTCTTGCAAAACCTTAAGGGGGAAATGAGACATATATGTAAGTAAGATTAATCTGTAATGCTGACGTCTGTCACCAGTCATCTTTTACAGTATGTTGCAGCCGCTTGAATTTGTACAACTGCCTAGCCAGCATACTTGTTCCTGTCTTCAGTCTTGGCGAACATCTTAATACTTAAGAACTACAAAGTAAATCCAAATGAAGGAAGTATTATTTTGGCCTTTGATCACAACCAAATGAGGAAATAAGAGAGGTAGTTTCCTTGATTACATTATTGGAATTCCATAAAGACCTGAAGGACACGGTAATACCATTGCTTAGTATTTCACTAAACCAGCACAAATTCGTCATCCCTTTCAGATGACCCCAGAGGACGTAGGTTAGGGTTTTGCTACAAAAAACATTACAGGAAATAGTAGTAGTTCACGAATATGAATCCCAGGTGTTAGAGGCTCACTATAAACCTCTTAATTACAGCCTCGATCAACTCTGAAGATAGATCTGCATCAAGTCATGGGAAAGGAGGCGTAAGACAGCTAAAAACCGCAAGCCATAACATTAAACACTTGGCTGTCAACATCCAGAAGTAACAAAACGTGATTCTCGCAAACTGTTTGGCTAACTGAAGGTCCCAACAAGCAGCAAAATTAAACGACGTTTCCTCTGTATTCCTTCACTAAACTTTCACATTCATTCTACTGACAAAATAAATCCACCATACCACTTCAAGTGCTAATTAATTTAGGTTATTTTTGGCCTACCCAGTAGCCAAAGGAGTAAACTGTTGGGAACTCGGTGACAGCAGACGTTCCTTCAGGATAGCTATCAACTCACCTGGAAAAAAAAGCATTTCCATCCAGATAGGACTGCCCCCACCTCTCTTAAACTACAAATTGTGTGAGAATGCAGGGGTATACGAATTCAACCCCCATTTTGTACATAGGGCACTGATCCATGTCCCAGTAGCCATGGAGGGTCCAGGACCATGGGAGGGCCCAGCTTCCCCTCTGGCCCTGCCCTGCCTTTGGGGTGCCTGGAAAGAGGGAGTGAAACCAAGCCCAGAAACGGCAGCCGGGCCCTTTCCTGCTCCAGCTACTGTTCAGGCAATTCCAGGGGTTGAGGCAACACCTGGAAGGGGTGGGGCCTGCCCACCCCAGCCTAAAAGAGCCCAGAGGCCCTAAGATGGCACCATGTGGTTGCTGAAATACACAAAGGGTCACCCAACCCAAGAGAGCCCCTTTTTGTTCCCTGCTTAAGCAGGAACCATTTCAACCTGGGAACTGCTGGAGACAAACCTTAGGGGAATTGGGGGTGAGAGGATGGCAATGTCGTGAGGACCTGGCTGGAAAAAAAGAGGTTGTGGGACTCCACTTACGCTCTGGTGAGGTGCAAATACAGAATAACGGCTCCAGAAATAAAAGTTTCATTCTGCCTCGCAACATCAAGTTGTTCTTTAGATGGTTTATGCAGATGTAAACGCTGATATCTCAGGAGTGATATATCTCTTAGCACATACATCCCTTCTCTAATGACATTTGCAGATGAAGACAAAATTCTTCAGGGGCATTTCTTTTCTCCTTCAGCCATAACTCAGTGTGGTTTCCTAGGAAACGAAAGAAAGTAAAATTATTAATTTTTTTTGGAGCAAACCCAAATGATTAAAGCAAAGCTGACACAGAATGCATACAATCCATCGTGTGTATCCTTTTTACTTCCTTCACACATCTCCGAAAAGCCAATGTAGCAATCGGGGACT